ACGTGACCGTTGCAGCCGCATTGCTCAGGCTCCATTTCCATGACTGCTTCGTTCGAGTAAGTTATTAGTTACATGCTCTTATGTGGGTTTTTTTCACATAATCGCAACAGAAGACGTTATTGACATATGCAATTGACGTTAATTACAATTAATGTGCATTTTCTTTTTGAAGGGGTGCGAGGCATCAGTGCTTTTGAATGCAACAAAGGAAGGTGGCGCCGAGAAAGATGGATTTCTGAACTTGAGCTTGAGAGGGTTCGACGTGATCGATGATGTGAAGTCTGCGATTGAGAAGAGTTGTCCTGGTGTGGTTTCCTGTGCCGATATATTGGCCCTGGCTGCTCGTGATGCGGTTCAACTGGTATTGTTTCAGGCTCATCTTTGGAATTATTGTACTTTTTACGTATGTTTTTAATATTTTTTGTTTTGATTTTTTATTTATTTATGTATGTTCTCTTTTTTTTTCTCTCTCTCTCTATTTTCAGACCGGTGGATTATTTTGGAAAGTTGAAACCGGACGTAGAGATGGAAGAATCTCACTCAGCAAGGAAATAGACGCAAATTTGCCATTCTCAAATTTCAACATAACTCAACTGAAGCAAAACTTCGCATCGAAGGGTCTAACTAAGAAAGACTTGGTTGTCTTGTCAGGTAAAATTAGTTATGATAATTTACCGCTGTTACAGGAATTAAAATATGTGAAAAGGCTTCAAATTTTCAACATGCTTAACCCTCTTAAATAATTATTAAAATCCTGTTACAATTGAAAATTACTAGGGTTTAAGTTCAGAGGCTCGCACAATTTTTAAACTGAACAATACGTGTCCCACTAGTACGTCCAACAAGGATAGTTTTTGATAAAAACATAAAATTGTTTAACTATTGATTTGAAGTACTCGATCGTATGATCTCAAATGTCACTTGCGCTGTCTAACTCTCATGACATTTTTATGAAACACATGTACATGCCACCACGTCACTAAATAACCAAAAAATTACAGAAGTAGATCTTAATCCCATTTACTCACAAACGATCTTTCTTTATCCTATCGCTTTTAGGAGCGCACACCATTGGTTCTGCAAGTTGTTTGACGATCAATACTAGACTATACAACTTCACGGGGAGAAGCGATACCGATCCGGCCCTGGATCCAACCTTTGCCTCCGAACTGAAGAAGAAATGCAAGCCTGGTGGCATCCTCCCAGTTTTCGAGCTGGACCAAGGAAGTTCCACGATTTCTGATGCACATTTCTACAAAGCTGTGAGGCAGAACAGAGGTCTCCTTATCTCTGATGCAGCACTTCTTGATGATCATGCAACTCGAGCTTATGTCAAACGCCAGTCCACCTCTGCTGCTGGGGCAACTTTTGGTAGGGATTTTGGTAAATCAATGGAGAAGATGGGTAGGATTGGTGTCCTCACAGGAAGCGAAGGGGAGATTAGGCAACGTTGTGCCTTGGTGAACTGATTATGATGCATGATTGTGTGTGGAAGTTAATTTTCTGGTTATTTGGCTTCTCTAACTTGTGTATGGATCTCTTTCGAGGAAGGTTATTTGGTTTATTGCTTCACGTGTCGTTATATAAAGTGTTTGTTACCAATAGTTTAATTGATGTTTCAAGTTATAATTCATTCTCATCATGTAATTGATTATCTACTAAACGTAGATGAGAGTTGAATTGGACTTTAAAAGCCATAAACTTCTTCCTTACATTTGAAACAATTGACTTAGTGATAAAGAAATCTTTGTGAAAGTAGAATAATAAATCAAATTGGTAGGATCATGATAGTAAACTATAAATGCTTAGGGTTCAAAGCATACTCATAAGTTATAAATGTATCATGGTAAAATCATAATAAAAGTTGTTAGAAGTAATTCAATTTTTAGAGGCTTCGCCGTAGGTATGATAGACTAGTGACAGAAGGATGGCAACATGTAAAATAGGAGGTTCCAGAATGTACTGACCGTGTCTAAAATTGAAGCAAATAAAGATCATATTAAAGACGTTAAATAGGACTCACTATTCTAGCACTCGTGAAAGAGTGGCAACACAATCAAATTAAGCTTTTCGTGACTCAATTAGAAGCCTTGGAGCGCCCTACCTCCTTGACTTTTTAATGCATTCTTCAGTTTCTAGATTTACAAAAGGCTAAAGAACAATTTACTATCTAGACATATGTGGATCAATGGCGAGGATGCAAATATCATGTTTTTCCATAGCATGGTAAATAGCAGGAATTCAAGAAGCATTATAATTCAATTGATTGACGAACGGGGAATAAAAAATCCGAGGTTAAAAAAGCAGCAGTTAAGCAACTCAGAATCTTCTAATACATTACCTCAGTGAATATGTCTCAACTATGTGCTCTGTAGTCTTACGAGAAGAAGTCAGGAAACTAATTAATGTATGGAATGAAAAGAGAGAAAGTACCTGGATCATATATATCTTCGGCTCAAGTTAGGGTGCATAACCATGGGTTATGCACCCATCAATAACCAAATCTGGACCCTTTATTTAGAAAATTCAGATCTAAAGATGGAGAATTAAATGTCATTTTTATTTTCACTAGCTTTCTTAATTGACTCATATCTTTTTCGTTTTAACTCGGATTTTAATTTTTTTTGCACAGATGGAACGAGTTCATCGTGCTCTACAAAATGAGATCAATTTTCAATATTTTTTGAGGAAAAAAAAATTCTGGCCTCTCGGTACCAACTGCATACCATATGGTATCTTCTTCGTTTTTAATTCGTTTTTAAAAACGTTTGCACAGCAGGGACGAGTTCATCATTATCTATTGGATGTACAAATTTCTGTGTGAACAAATTAGAAGACAAAAAAATACCACACAATACCATACAATACCACCCTGGTACGGGGTGGTATCTTATGGTATCTTATGGTATACAATGTTAAAAGTCGTAAATGACAATTAATATACTTCTACTATCATGTATTCAATCATCCTACAGTTTTGGTTTGTGTCATACCACCATGGTACGCTTTTCAAACCATAGGTATGCTCTTATTTCAATACCAGTCAATACCATATGGTATAGACTAGGGCTGCAAATGAGCCAAGCCGCTCGCGAGCAACTCGGCGTTCGAATCGGGGAAAATTCGTTCGACACTCGACTCGTCATTTAAAAAGCTAGCTCGCGAGCCAACTCGTTAGTTAACAAGCCAAGCTTGAGCTAGACCATGCTCAGCTTGATAAGCTCGCGAGCTAGCTTGATTCAGTGGCTTGTTGAGCTAAGCTCGCGAGCTGCCTTGTTTAGAGCTTGTGAAAGGATGAATTACTCTTTTAAACATGAACATTGTCTTGTTAATACAAATGTGTATGAAATTTAGATGTTATTTATAGTTTCTAGTGTTATTTCTATCATTTAAATTCTTATGTTTACACATTTTCCAGCAAGAATGATTTTAAATCGAGCTCATCTTGAGCCGAGCTTGTACTCAGCTTGACAAGCTATGTTAATGAGCATTTATCGAGCTCTACCGAGTCGAGCTCGAGCTAGATGATTTTTATTCAAGTCGAGCTCGAGCTCGAGCTGGATTATCAAAATTCGAGTTCGAGCCGAGCTCGAGCTAAAAAATTAATAAACGAGCCGAGCTCAAGCTAAGCAAAAACTCGACTCGACTCGGCTCGTTTGCAGCCCTAGTATAGACTGGTATAAAATGGCTCAATTTTTTTGTTCAAAAAATATATCAAAGTGGATATCATTTTGAAGAGCACACTTAATCTGATCTAACTGTGCAAAAAAAATTATATTTTGACTTAAAACGAGTGAGAAATCGTCCGTCAAAGATTAATGAGGGGAAAATTAAAGGCTTTTCAGGAGAGAGAGGATGCTGATGTCATGCTGATGTGGGTGAGTTACTCATAGTTACTCACCATAAGGTTATTGACCTGATCCGTTCCCTATATCTTCTAGGACAATTGGAAGCTTCTTCTTCATCTATCAGGTTTAAGATAAACTTTGGGGACAAAGTTCTTTTAATGGGGGAGAATTGATGCATTTATGCATCTAGTGGCCGACATCATTATTCGCTTATTATTATTTAGATACTTCATATTAATTATTCGTGTATTATTACTGTTAGTTTGGGCGATTTGTATTAATTCTTGTTTAGGACTTCTATTAATAAATGTGTCTTGCTTAGGAAGTAATTGATCACTTATTGGTTTAGGATTTATACATGAATGATAAGTCAAGTAATCAGTAGTACTTCAGAATACAAGAAAACATATGTTTAATGTCAGTTAAAATATATGATTTTTGTTGGAAATGCTCTCTAGCAATCCTCCGGGACTGAATACCTCGCCGATGGCATCAGCTCACTCTGGTCGGCCGCCGGATAATACCCAAGAAGCGAGCTCGCCTGATCCCACTGTCTCTCTCATGGCCTCCAAAACGGCGACTGCCCTGTCGGAGATGGTGGTAGACGAACCTGCAGCGATTACTGAACCTTCTCGCCAGTCTGAGATCTCTGCGACGGATACGATGGCGGCTGCCGCCATGGTTAGATCTTTGTCAGTTTCTCCGCTAGCAGCAGAGGCCGGCTCCTTTACCTATGCTAGCGCTGTTGCCGGCTTCAAGAGTCAGGCCTTACCAACTTCGGTGAGTAATCAATGGACTCCGGTGGTGGAACATGACCTAATACCCGGAGATTTCAATGGCGAACCAGCGCTGAAAATCTCACTAGGCTTCAAGAGTCGAATATGTGCTCCATGGCAGAGAACTCTAGTTGTTCGGCTGCTCGGTGTTAAAGTGGGTTTCACTACTCTGTGTGCTCGACTCCGTGCGCAATGGCGTCCGATCGGACACATGGAAGTTAGAGATTTGGATCATGATTGTTATCTCGTTAAACTCGAGAATGAACAGGATTACTTCAAGGCTCTCACTGATGGACCATGGACAGTTTTCGATCACTATATGGTTGTTCAGCAATGGACACCAAAGTTTAGAGTCTCTGATCATCTTCCGAAGAAGATGATAGTCTGGGTTCATTTACCGGGGCTCCCAATTCACCTCTACCACAAGGATGTTCTGATCTCTATCGGCAATTTGATCGGGCGCACAATCAAATTGGATTATCACACCATGAATCAGCAAAGGGCCAAATTCGCGCGTCTCGCCGTGGAAATTGATCTTGAAAAAGCTCTAGTGCCAAGAGTCTACCTTGATGATGAATGGCAAAAAATAGAGTACGAGAACCTCCCAGAGGTGTGTTTCGATTGCGGTAAGATAGGCCATACTTCAAGCTGCTGCCCCAATCTCCGTTCGACGTCTCTGGTCGAGGCTCTGGCAGTGACCGGAAACAGAGGATCGGAGGAGGTGGCTCGGGCGACTTCAGAGGCGGACGCCAGTTTCGGGCCTTGGATGATTGTTACCAAAAAGAGTGATAGACCGTTAATTACACATGTTTTTACCCCTGTTCTTACACCGTTTGAGATGTGGTTTCTCGTGTTTTAGGCCGATTGCACGCTAGGTTGTGCTTGTTTGTGATATTTCAGGTCCTAGTACGTGAATGGAGGCCTGGAAGCGAGTTTGGGGTCGATTGGACGAAGATCGGGTGCGAGGCAAGCCGATAAGGAAGTCACACGGGCACACACAAACCTCACACGGCCGTGCAAGTGACCAATGTGGTCGTGTGGGATTGTGCGAGCCTTCACACGGGCACAAATAAATACCACACGGCCGTGTTAAAGAGCAAGGTGGCCGTGTGATTTGTGCCGAGAGCAAACACGGGCAGAGCAGAATTTCCACACGGCCGTGTGACCCTGGCCGTGTGGGAAGCCTGAAATCCAACTAATCGATACGCCGCGTTTTGAGTCACACGGGCAACTGGGTGAGCCACACGGCCGTGTGGCTTGCCCGTGTGAGTCGGGAAATCTTGGTTTTTCACCCAATTCTGAGCCACAAGTGAGAGAATCGGATTTTCAGAACAAAAACAAAGCCCTAGAGAGAGAAAGTGCGAAGAACACATCCTAGAAGCTATCTTGGAGCTGGGTTTCATCAAATCGAGCTTGGAGATCGTCATAGGAGTGGAAATCATCATCCCAGAGCAGATTTTCCTCATCTTTATGAGTATGACTACTCTGATTACTGTTTTCTTCTCTCTCTCTATGGAGTAGAACCCTTCTCTCACTTGTGTATGAAGAACCCTAGTTCCTTGTGTTAGGGATTTGATTGTAATGACTTGGGATGATTATACTGTTTGGTTTTAATCGAATGATGCATGTTTATTGAATTGATTGAAGTCTGATCAGCTTTTCTTGATTTCTGCTGCAACCTGAGATAGATAGAATCTGATTAGGTTGTTAGAGCCTCTTCATTTGATAGTAGGAGATTGGTTATGCGAGAGTTAGCCAGTTTACTGCTTTGTACTGGAATTCAATTCCAGTAGTGGAGTTCTGTGTTCATAGCCTCAGCTTTCTATCCCGGTGAAGACTAGTCGTCTGCCAGGTAGTTAGACTGAGAGGGCTTGGTCAGCTTAAGAGATTCCAAGCTACTGTCGGATCTTCCGCAGTCTAATCAACAGTAAATCAACCCAGGGTAATTACAATTGAACCTAACTAAGGAGCTACGGGGACTCATTCCCGAGTGACTCTTTCCTGCCTTAGAAAACCGAACCATTTCCTGCTTTCTTACTGATTTTAGTTTAAACAACAATCACTCGACTTAGTTGGCTAGATAATAGATAATCACAGAGTAAGCAGTAGATCTAGACCCCGGGTTGATAATATAACTTGCCTGTTACTGCATTCCCGGACTGCGATTACACTTGGTCGCAGTTTGGTGTTGTGTTTTGGCGTGTCAAAGAGCCGCTGTAATTATCGGGATAACAATCGGAATTGGAAGGAGGAGAATGACGTTGGAAAATCTTCTCAAGGTAATGGAGGAAAGTTGGGCAAGAACGGATCCAAAGGAAAGGAAAGTGGGGAAAGTGTTGGACGCTCATCGTCTCCTCAAATCTTGGTAGGCCAACGGACACCTATTCCTGATGCTAAATTTGTGGCAGCAGAGAAGAGGAAGGAGGAAATAAAGAAAGGAAAGGAGAAGCTGGGCTCACCCACATCTTCTTCGGGCAAAGGCCTTTTGGGCCCAGTTCCTGCTCCAACCATGGCAACCGGGCTAAAGCCCAAAAATGAGCTATTGAAAGCCTCTTCCTCCTCTGCTCCTATCGTGTTGTCCAGGGAAAGGCAATCCGAGTCTCCAAAGTCTGGGCGTTCAGCCCACATAGCCATTCCTCAAGCCCTTTCCTCTCTCCCTGTACAAACTACGATTGGGCCCAATGGAACAAACATTCAGCTTGTCTCCATCCAGCAACCCACCTTCAAGCCGAAATCCCAGATAGGCACCTCCTCGATGCCGACAACCCAGGGAAAAGAAAAAGGCAGTAAAAGCTCCAAATCCCGATCCCTCAAGCTATCTCCGATCAAGAACAATCCTCTCAAGCCGCTTCAAATTTGGTCCCCAATGAAAGAGAAGAAAAGCAAAGCTAAATCTCGCTTAGCTACTCTTACTCTCCAAGACTTCACGCCTGGACTAAGGGTGGAAAGGAAGTGCCGAATGCCGAAAACATGGAGGAACAGACATCGGCTGATGATTGCGCAAAGCCTCAATCTATGGAGGCCAAGTCAGCAACCATCCCCGTCTAAAACTGGTGAACCTGTTCCTTTTCTTTTCGCTTCCTCTCTTGTTGATTTTGTTATGTCGTCTACAAATTCTGTTAAAAATTTCTCTTGGAGCAGGGAGCAGAGCCTTTGCGCGCTCCCTGAAGCTGGCTATTGATATTAACCGTCCTGATTTTGTTATTCTTCTTGAACCTCAGATCAGTGGCAACACAGCAGACGCTGTTTGTGACCGATTGGGCTTTCCAAATGTGATTAGAGTTGATGCCGATGGAAGAAGGGGAGGAATCTGGATTTTCGGCGCTCCTCACCTCAGCCTGCTCTCAACACATTTCTCTCTGTATCTCCCAGGGTAACGCAACTCCTTGGATTCTCACGGTAGTGCACGCCTCACCCCAACCGAGCAGGCAACATAGCCTATGGGGTAACCTGATTGAGCAGAGCAGGACAGTTCACATCCCCTGGGTTTTAACTGGAGATTGGAATGCTATCAGGGCCCCGGAAGAGAAGAGTGGTTCTCCTTCCTCATCCACTCTAAGGAAGTGTCGCCTCTTCAATGACCGCACCGACCAGGCTGAACTAATCGATCTTGGCTACTCAGGGCCGTGTTTTACTTGGTACAGAGGAGGGCAGCATAGCACCCACAAAGCTAGCAGGCTCGATCGTAGCTTCTGCAACCCAACATGGAATGCTACCTTCCCCAACACTTCGGTTCTGCACCTTCCACGACTTCACTCTGACCATAACCCAATCCTTACCACTATTGCTTCACAGGGGCAGCTTTCGTCTGACTCTCGCCCCTTTAAAGTTGAAGCTGCCTGGTTCACCCATTCTGACTTCTTGAATTTCGTTGCAGGCACTTGGAATGACAACTCCTCTTTCCCTGAAGCTCTGATAAACCTTGCAACTAAGCTCAAGGAGTGGAACTCCAACGTTTTTGGGAATATTCAGCAAAAGAAACTCAGGCTTCTCGCTCGAATTCGAGGAGTGTAGCTCACACTTGCGGACTCCTTCACCCCTGGGCTAGGAAAACTCCATTCCAAGCTAGAAGATGAGTTGGACAAAGTCTTGGAACAAGAGGAGCTTCTCTGGTTTCAAAGAGCGAGAGAGCAGTGGGTCAAGTTTGGAGAGCGGAACACGGCATACTTTCACCAACAAGTCAATATTAGGAGACGCCGCAATAAGATCGAGACTCTGAGAGATGCTAATGGGTTGTGGGTAGACGATCCTCAGGCCCTTGGCTTCCTAGTCTTTGATTATTTTGCTAATCCTAGACTTGATTCGGCTGATTTGATGACCCTGCTGCATCCCTTTACTATCATGGACATCCACAAAGCGATTTTTGATATGAAGCCCTTCCAGGATCCTGGGCCAGACGGGTTTCAGGCGGCTTTCTACCAGCATTCTTGGAGCACAACTGGAAGGTCTCTTGCACAGATGGCTACTCAGTTTTTCTCAACAGGGTTGCTCCCAGATGCGGTGACCGAGTCAACAGTGGTGCTCATCCCAAAGGTTGACAACCCTGAGATGGTCACTCAACTAAGACCAATCTCTCTGAATAATGTCAGCCTAAAAGCCATTACCAAGGCCATGACAAGTCGTCTGAAACCGATCATGAGGAAGTTAGTCTCTCCCAGGCAAAGTAGCTTCATCCCGGGCAGGCAAACAACGGAAAATATCATCATTGTGCAAGAAGTTCTTCATACCCTCAGAAAGAGAAAAGGAAGGAAAGGCGGGATGGTGTTTAAGATCGATCTTGAGAAAGCCTATGATATGCTTCGTTGGGAGTTCTTGAGAGACACTTTGAAAGAGATTGGCCTCCCAAGCTCCTGGATAAGTTGTATTATGTACTGCGTGGAGCAAAACAGAATGAGAATCCTGTGGAATGGGAAGCTCTCTCAATCAATCACTCCCACCCGCGGCGTTCGTTAGGGAGATCCCTTGTCACCCTATCTTTTTATTTTATGTATAGAACGCCTGTCTCATAAGATTGATGAAGCCTGTCTTAGTAAGAAATGGAAACCCATTCATCTTACTAAGGAAGGCCTGCCTCTGACTCATCTTCTTTTCGCAGACAATCTGCTTCTTTTTGCTGAAGCAGAATCGCGCCAGATCAAGGTGGTCAAGGAATGCCTCGATGACTTCTGTTATAGCTCGGGGCAGCGAGTCAATTACAGCAAGTCGATTATGTATATCTCCTCCAATGTGGACCGAGCCAAGGCGACTCTTCTGAGCAGGAAAGCAGGAATCCCTCTTAAACAGGAGCTTGGAAAATACTTGGGAGTAGATACCATCCATGGTCGAATCACTAAAGGGCGGTATCAGGGATTAATCTTGAGGATTCAGAAGAAGTTGGCCCCGTGGAAGGCTCGTCGGCTATCTCTGGCAGCCAGGCTCACAATTGCTCGTTCGGTAACCTCATCCTTTCCCACCTATACTATGAGCACTGAACTTATTCCCAGTGGTGTGTGCAAAAATATAGACAGGTTAACAGGGACTTTATTTGGGGAGAGGAGGAGAACAAATCCAAAATGCACCTTGTAGCTTGGGATAAAATGGTTCTCCCTAAGAAACAAGGTGGAGCCGGGCTTCGATCTCTTAGACAAGCAAATCTAGCTATGCTGGCAAAAGGTGGATGGAGAATTCTTAAGGAGAAGGACAGCCTGTGGACCATGGTGATGAGGGAGAAATACGGCCGAGGTCAAGAAGATTTAAACATCATCCGACCGATTCAGGGAAGTTCCTTCACCTGGAACAGCTTTTCTAGAGCTGCTAATCTTCTTCGAAAAGGTTGTGCTTGGAATATAAGGAATGGTAAACACACTAAGTTTTGGCTGG